AATTGCCCAGATTTCAGGCTCCATTTTGGAGACGAGATGTTTAAATGACAAATTAAACTAGGGGAAATTAAACTTAGAGAAATGCCAGTCTCAGTTCCCATCATCGTATACAATGCTGCCATGTCAAGCTCCAGTGATATCACTCCCTGACCCCGAAGTCTTCAGGAGATGCTCGCAGACTGGCGGATTCAGTCCTAATATGCTGTCTTAGCAGGCAAGACTGTTGACACCCCTACCTACATGGTCTCTCTGTGCTCTTATATTTCCCCATGTTTCAACAAAACAGATCCACTTGCTTGCCCCTGTCATCTGCTCTGAGCACCCCATTCTCCTTCCACAGTGTTCACCACACATGCCATTGCTTGTTTAATGTCTGTCTTCTCTGTGGATGTAAATTCCAGGAAAGCAGATCCTGTCACCATTGTACCCTCAGGGTCCAACAGCATTAACTGGTCGATGACGGACCCTTCTGAATTGTAGGCTAGGCTCTCCCACCTTCATGCCTGTACTCCCACTGTCTTCCTCCACCTCAAAGGCCTGCCTATCTTGACCTGAAGCCAGGGCTGTTCTTCCAAGCCTTGATCAACCCCCAGTTCCTTCATCAGGTCTCCCCTTCTTGAGAACCACCACAGCGCTGTTCTTTTTAGTTCCTATGTCATAATCATGTGTGATCTTGTGTAGTCTTCCTTCCTTGCCCCTCCCAGACTGCCAGCTCTGAAAAGACAGGAGCAGTACCCCAAAGCCTGTTAAACGTGTGCCCACCTGCCTAAAACTATTGTTGACCAGCATTATTCATTCAGCAAAAGTCCCATTTCAGAATCTGCAGCTTGTCACGAGAGGGGATTTTTCTCCTTCTTACCTTCCGTCATCCTTTTGGAAGGCTGGGAGAAAGATCCGTCAGGGAAACCTCGCCAACTCTTCCTTTAAAAAGCATCTCCATTCTCTTCTTTGAGGAGTAAGTATTTTGGCACTTAGGTGAAGGGTTCCATTGCCTACGCGGGCCCAGGGCAGGTATGCAGGGGTGGTGGTTGGCTTTTTTTTTTTTTTTTTTAAAACCTTCTGTGCCCATTTCAATGATGGCCTGAATACGGGAGAACTAATCAATGCAACATCAGCTGAGAGGGAATTTTAATACTAGTGTGTGCTTCTAGTGAACAATTTTTACACGTACCATTCAGTTTCCATAAGAAGGCCCCAGACTGAACTAATTCTGGGTATATGTGTAACCTCATAAGCAGCACATTTTGACAGCTTGAAGACCCCAGGCTACCAGCAACATGGGCATACTGAACATCTGTGACATAACACTCCATATAAATTAGAAAGAGCTGCTTTGACAACGGTATCATGGAATATTCAGGGCTGTTAAAACTGATGATGTAGATCTCCATTTATTGACATGGAGAGAGGCCTGCAATCTACTGCTAAAGGGAAGGAAGCAAGCTATCGAACATCATGACAATGTGAAACTATTCCACATTTATATCTCTACCTATTCATAGATGGGTGGGTAGTCTTCAAAATGTTAACAACGACATCTCTTTGTGATGAAATTTTGGGTAATTTTTCTCTTCTGCTTTTATAGTTTCTCCTGTATTATTTGAATTTTATTTTTACAGAGAGCGATCATTTTTTACAATCAGAAAAGGAAAATAATAAAGATGCTTTTGGCTCAAAAAAATTGCTGGAAATAAAAAAAGACTCATTAACAAATCTTCAAATGTCCTAACAGATGCTTATTGTAAAACAAACAAACAAAAACCACAACCAAACTCTTGCACACACAAGGGAAAACCTGTTTCACTGCTTTTGTGACTGAACCGTACCACAGTCAAGTGAAAGGGAACAAAGGAAGCCTCCCAGGAGGAACACAGGTGAGATCAAGACCTCTTGACATCACATGGGTGTCAGGCCTGCTTTTTAAGTGCTTGGAGTATGAACTATCATTTCAGATACCATTTTAATCCAAGCTTTTGGTGGCAGATTGATTTACAGGCACAGTGTTTCTAATTATGGGACAACAGAAAAATCTTCCCCACTGACAACAAAACGATGGTGACTGCAATTACTACAGCAGTTTCTGTTGCAAAAAAGAGACAGGTGCTGTTGGTCACAGTACAATTCACACTTTATTCCATCGTGATTGGTACACTTGTAGCATCAGGACAGCAAGAGACTAAAACCGGGTGCAGAACTTCTCTGGACTAGAGGGCGGTGAAAGGCATGACTGGTTTTGGCACACAGAGTGGATAACCATACATTGGCTGGAATGTGATGGTCAGTAAAACAAAATGCACAAGTCTAACACCATGTTGAGGCCATGTCTGAGTTCTGTAGAATGTTAAAGGTTAAATAATTACAAAGACTAACATGCAACTCTATATAAGTCACATTATTCACCTACAGACTATTTCCCCCGTAGACATGAAGAGATAGCCTTAGTCAGCTGTTCACAGTAGCTTAAAGAGCAATCAATACACCTTAGAGATCTGCCTGCTGATTTCTATAGCAATCCATTACAGTTGAAGAGATAATGCTAAATAATGTACTTTCTCTATATTGCCCCTGTTAGATTGAGTCTTACTAACTAACTAAATCGGAATTAACTTTTCCTTACTTTAATACAATTCCTAATGTCTTTACAATGTCAAAGAGCAGCTTCTGTTAGTTTATTTATCTTTATAAATCACAACAGACTAGAGGGGAACCTAGGTAACGGGTCATCGTTCCTCTGCAAAGATAACATTATGCTGAGGAGAACATCAAAAATTGCTACCACTACGCTGCAGATATTTTGGGTTTTTGCATCATTGTATCACACAAGGAGTCCAAAGAAGACGATCTTATCAGTGACATAGCAGAGAATACAGTTCTGTGAAGAGGCACATAGACTCTAAGTGATTTCTTGAGACAGAGGAGCAAAGAGGGGAAAAATGCAAAGGAAAGGAAAAGTGAAAAACAGCCTTCTGTAGAACAAATTGTTCAAAAGAAAAACCTGTTCACTTGCAATTGACTAAATATAATACAGTTTCTCAATTTGGGATGACAGAAGTACAGATACTGAAAATTATATGCCACTTAGCTTTAATAGTAAGCCTAACGTGGCTGACTGGGTTAACTTTCCTGAGGTTGTTTTTGAGATTCCAGACTACCCCAGGAAGAAGTTCTGCTTTTGCCAACACAGGGCCAGATTTAACCCAAAAGGGCAACCATAATTGTGGAGGACAATTTTTTCTTATGAAGTAGACCATGTGGGTAACATTCATTTTCTCTCTGGTAATAACACATTATTCACCCATGATGAGACCCTTTGAAACAAAACAGTGACCAAGATATGGTTCATTCATACCATGCTATAACTAAGACACCTGCACAGGAATGAATTAAAAGTTCAACAAAAAGGAGGAGAAGGAATTTCTTCAAATTTTGGCATAAAATCATTAAATAAATGAAAAGGATATAGGTAGAGGTTAAGGATGTCTTGGTATTGTCGGAGGCTTGTCACTTCCATTTGCTCAGGGGAGATACGAATGGAGGGAATTCTGTCTTGGTTACCAAACATAAGAAATGTTTGGTTAGAGATACATATGCAAGGGGCATCTGGGTGGCTCAGTTGGTTAAGCGTCCGATTCTTGGTTTTGGCTCAGGGTCCTGAGATCCAGCCTAGGGTCAGGCTCCAAGCTCAGCGGGGAGTTTGCTTAAGACTCTTTCTCTACCCCTCCCCCACCCTCACGCATGCACTCTCTCTCTCTCTTTCTCTCTCTCTCTCTCTCAGATAAGTAAATAAATCTTAAAAAAAAAAATCACATAGGTAAGCAGAGCAAGCCTTGAAGTCATATTTCTTAATCTCCCTGATTGTTAATCTTGAACAACAAGCTACAGGCAATACAGGAAAGGTGGAGACGACTAGGAAGTTTGATAACATGCCTGGATCAGTCATCATTCCTTGGAAAGTACCATCTCCCTGGCCTGTTAAAAGGCTGATTCTTTCAGGTTTAAGTAAAAGACAATGATCTCTCCCTTCACTGCGCCATTGTTCTTTGTAAGAGACCAGCATCCGTTTCAGGTTGTGTAATTTAAAAGCTAGAAAGGAAAGAAATTTTAATTGAATTCCACAGTATATATTCATAGATATTTCAAAGTGGAATTGTCCATTGTCTGTGGTTTCAAGCACCACGCCGATCACTTCCTGAACATGCTGCATCTGGCTCTCACTAGACCATCAATAATCATTTGTAGATGCAAAGTCTCTTTTGAAAGAACTAACTTTGCTAGACCAGGATAATTGCAGGGGGTAGAAGGCTGGAAGTAAGGTGAGTCATGATGAGAGGAGGTGGGAAGAGAAAGGAGCTGAAGGAAAAAATAAGACTGTTCCCCCAGGTCTATAAATGGTCAGTAATGAAACAAAAATGCATGGAATGTGACTTAAAGATTTCTGAGATGTGCCCATGGGGTGTTTCCAGGCTTCTCAATCTATGATCTCTAGCAACCCTCTGGAGCCGAATTTACCTTCCTAGGTGTGGTGCCCTACTTCTTCTGGAATTCAGATGTCCGGGACAAACCCCATCAGGATATGCCTATGCCTGGTTAACTGTTCCCCAAACAGTCATTGTGATTTTGGTCACAGTTCTGCTGAGGGACCTGTCTGTCCTTCCTGGGGACAGTGAGGGTGGTGGCTGAAGATGGAGCCATGGGTCAGAGGAGGCTAATGTAGCAGACAGGAGGGACCTGCAGGAAGGTACCCAGAAGGCAAGACCCTGGATTTTACCCAAAGCAACAGAAGTGAGAAAGGCAAAAGAAAGCAACTGGCAATGGAATATCCAGAGTTCAGATGAAAAAAAGGAAGGAAAGGGGGAGAAGCCAGGAACCAGGGAATTTCACAGGAACCAAAGATGATGAACGATACAAACAGGAAGAAAGAACCCCTGGCCTATCTGACTGATCAAGAAGACATTCTTCAGCCAATACTGGCAACTCAACAGCATATATATATATATATATATATATATATATATATACTCACATTGATAACACAAACACGAAAATGAGTATTTCTTTGCTACCATTAATCACAGTTCAATAATTCAATGAGCTCTATATTTTCTAGATTGCTTAATTCATTTAGCAAAACCCACAGTTTAGGTACCACCGCAAGGGGAGGTTGGGGAGGGTGCAGAACGGAGCAAACTCAGAAGGAGACTTTTGTAAACCAGAGTTAGTAGCACAGTGGCAAGTAGATTGTCAATGAACACGACAGGAACGTACAGTCATCGGCCTTGTGAGTGCGGTATTGCCGGCTACGGGGGGGGGGGCGTGTGGGACTTCGACTCAGGAGTCTACCTTCTTGTTAATTAAAATCGAGCTGCATGTGAGCAGCCCGTCCACCTTTTCCAGTTCAGAATGGCTCACGGGGATCAGCATATGGTCCTTCAGCTTCTCATAAACCTGCAGCAGAAATCAAGGAAAGGTAAAGCAGAAGGGTTATGTTTCCGCCTCTGTCTTACCCCTGTCCTCCCCACCCCCCACCTCCTCGCCTAGTGTGAGGATTCATTTGGCTCAATAGTTTAGGCTTCTCAGCCACTGAACCTCAAGAGGCGTATGCGGTCTAGACCACACCGGCCCCCAGTGGAGCGAGAGGCCCTGGTGAATCACGAGCTCCATACTTTAACCTCAAAGCCGAAGATGTGTCAAAAATGTGGTTTTACCAGAGACGCCTTCACTCTGCCGCTGTCCCTGGGAGACTGAGTGGTGCGTGAAGGCCATGGCAGTGTTTTCAGTCTGAATATTACCCTTCCTCGCCACACTTTAAAACCCTCTCTACTAAACTTTAAGGTTTCTCTCCTTACCACCACCACTGGAAAAACTCGACAAGACAGACTCCGAGTGAAGTGTTTCAGGTCACACTGCTTTTCAATGACAGGTGTGAATCTTATAGCATCTTTTGACGCAATAGAAAGCATGTGTCGAAACTTTGAATTAAAGGTCCAGAGATTTTTTCTCTGATGATCAAACAAAGCACATTTTTTTTTTTTAGTACAAAATCACCTGGAACACACTATCTAAAAAAACGATCTACCGTGCTTCTTTAGGAAGAATTGTTCCTTAAATTTCACTACGGCGGCTAATTAAGAGTGCTGGAGCCAGAGTGGGGCTCCAGACCCAGTTCTGTCAACCTACCACCTAATGTGTGACTTCAGCCAAGTGTCAGATTCCCTTCTAGCCTTGGGTTACTGTTCAGTAAAAGAGTAACAAGAGTGCCCTCACAGGGCTGCTGCGAGGTATAAATCAGATAATGCTCAGAGTGGGCTGGGCCCCATGCCTGGCACAGGGGAAGCCTCAGTAAACATGGACGTTATCATCGTTACTGTGGATAGACACAGGGCTGAATCCAAAGCCGTTAATCATCCGGTTATCAGATGATCCATGTGGCTGGAGAAGCACGAACGGTCCAGAGCCTTGTTTCTCTAAGTGGGTTCTCTGACCCGGGTGCTTGTTGAAATTGCAGATTCTAGGATGGGGGTCTAGAAACCTGTATTTTTAAACAATCCTGATGCACAATAAAGTATGAGACCCTCTATTCATCTGAGACCTGGTTAAGCCCCATTCTGGGCTCAAGGGTCCTCTGTTCTCCTCAGGTTCACACTTCCAGCCATGGAAACAGAGAAATCATCTATGTATCTCCCCATTTTCTTTTTATCTGCCAAGAAGGTGACTGATTCAGAAGATAAACCTGGTGATTATACAATATCACGTATCTGAAAGGTGGCCAAAATATTTTCTAAAATCTTTAAAGATATAAATTTTAAGATGCATAAACAAAAAACCAGTGGCTATTGAGGGCTCTTCTGTCATGCTGAGTGTCAGTATCTGATTCCTCTGGGCAGAGAGCAAGATGCTGAAATGCCTAAAACAGATATGGACACTTGCAGGGTCTACGGGTGAGCACTCCTGTGACTGCGTGTGCAGAAGAGACTGGCAGAATGCCCTGAAGGACAAGGAACATCTTCTTAGACCAGGAAAGAATTCCATGTCTAGGGACAATTCCCGTGTTGGCGAACAAACGCAGAAGCTCTTAGAGGGACAGGTGCCTGATGGCAAGTGTGTCATCTTTTTGATCCATCGCTACCCAGGATGCACAGCCCAAAGCCCCTTTTTTGCAGCCCTGACAATGAGCACCCACTTCTTTGGGTCACTCACACTTCTCTGTCATAAAAAAACAAATGACCTTCCGGTGAAGGGCAGCTCAGATTTGCCAGAAAACAACGACACAGTTGACTGCCCAACTGTAAGTCTCTATGCTGAGTGAGTGTCTCAGTGCGGGGAGATACGTGTCATCAGAGCTGCTGCAAAAACGTGCGAAATCCAAGTACTTATTGAAAAGTTTTGAATACCAGGCATGATCACCTCAATTTACTGTGCATGTGTTTGTCATCAGAAACAAGAACGAGAAGAATGAGTTAAATTAACTTTCCTTGTGCCCTAAAACTATATTATCCTCTCTGCTTTCTTAACGATTTGACGTGTATAGAGGAAAAGGAAGCCCCTGTTATTTGTCACTCCATCATGAAAAAAATCCCCAGGCAAGAAGACTGTCACAGGGAGGCCTACTCAGCTGCAGTGGCCACGAAGGCTGGTTTTGACTGTTTGTTTGTTTTACCTTTGCACTTTCTGGATATTCTTCTGGGGTGCGGTGTAGCAAGACGTGACCTTTGCTGGGGATATTTAGGTAAATACAGTTTGCGGCCGTGTCATCAGGCATAGTGAGCTTGTCATAGCGGTGATCACTCATCTGCTGCATGATCTATAAGGAGAAACACAGCAGGCTTGAGCAGAGCACTTCCCCACACTTCCAAACAGAAGGAAGGCAGCGCATGGGCATAAGCTTGCGACGGATGCCGAAGAATGTTCCTGAGAAGTGTCTGCCTATTTCCTTGAGTCATTTAGATCCCAGAGGAAAACCCCATGAAGTCAGGATTCTCTGGAAGAACGGCAAGGGTTCTTCTTCTTCTTCTTCTTCTTTTTTTTTTTAAGTGTTTGTAATTTTAAAAAGGTTTTAAAACTGGCCATAATTTTTCCAGTTTTTGTTCATAAGATCTATCAGTGAGACATGAAATGGACACATATGCAAAAGGCCCAGCTGGGGTTTCGATGACATCCTTGGCTGAGTAAGCAGGGCTGTCCTAGTCTATAGGAAAAAGGGACCAGAGTGGTAATCATTCTGGTCAATAATCTGATTTAGCAATAAACACACACACACACACACACACACACACACACACACACAATTTCCTCTTGTAGATATACTTAAATTGAATTAACCTATCTGATGGCAGGGGATGCCTTTAATACAATAAGCATAAAAATCACTTGAGGAGAATGTTAAACTCATATTCTTAGGGCTCACCACCAGGGATTCTAATCTGGCAGATCTGAAGTGAGGTGCAGAGATTTGCATTCTAAAGCTCTCCAGGTAATTCTGAGGCAGATGGTCCCAGATCACACTTGATTAAAAAAAAAAACAAACAAAAAACAAAAAAAAAATCCCACCTGATTTAGCAGGCCTATTAATCAAATGATGGGTTTATAAATGCCTTCATATATAATAACTTAAAAAAATCACAGGAGTGAACTCTATAAAATTTTTAGAAATTGACACCTTATCCTCATCTCAACACAATCAAAACTGAAACCCAAAAATCAACCACCCCTCCTTCACTACAAAAATATCCAAACACCAAAAACAGATAAACAAACAAAAGCCAAATATATTTTCTGCTTCATCATGTAGATTCTTTTCATTCTTGATCAATATCCATATATTTTAAGGAATTTGCTGAAATGTCATGCCATAAGGGTATAACAAGATCTTTTCCATAATCTGGTTTGATTTTACCTTTCCAACCAGGTCTCCCTGTACCTTTCAATATCTATATGGAAATGTGCTTCATATTACTAGACCTCAGAAGTAGGTAGGCTTGCCCACTCAGTGGTGGCAGCAATGGACAGTAAGAATCACAGTGTGGAAGAGAGCATAAGACTGCATGCTCCTTGTAGAAAGTTCATTCCAAAGAGAACATGGAGAGTGGCATAGAATAAGCTCTCCCTGACGCGCCAGTCAAGTAAACCACTCACTTCTCCTCGTGTGGAATATGTCAAAAGCCGGGAGAGGGCACAAGTAATCTGAAATGTAATATCCTTTGCACAGAAAGAAACATCAGGTATGGGCATAAGCTTAAGCCCTGTACCAAAGGCTGAGAGACACAAAGATGAGTGGGACACAGATCGAGTTTTTTTTTTTTTTTTTTTTTTTTTTATTTATATGAGAGAGAGAGAGAGAGATCATAAGGAAGCAGAGAGGCAGTGAGGGGGTGGGGGAAGCAGGCTCCCGATGAGCAGAGAGCCCAATGCGGGGCTTGATCCCAGGACCCTGAGATCATGACCTGAGCAGAAGGCAGAGGCTTAACCCACTGAGCCACCCAGGTGCCCCCAGATCCAGTTTTTGAGAGGTTACAGCCTAATGGAGGAGACTGGCAGACAGTTATACAGAAGAAGAAACAGGGCACCACGGGAAACATTTAAAATGTATTATCTGATCACAGAACTCCCATCTTACAGATGAACAAAACAGACTGAGAGAGATCAAATAACTTACTTGCTCAGAGTCACATGGGTAGATTCAAACCCACATCTGGACAACTCAAACCCTTCTCTATTAATTGTCTTTCTTTGCCCTCTTTCTTGACCTCCAGGGGTGTGGCAGTTCTTCCTCTCCTAGTAACTGCTGTAACATCGACCTTTTTGCCCTCATTTGGCACTTATAATTTATTCTTTTGTGGCATCATTAACTCTTCTTTCATACATAAGCCTGTTACAACATGCTACAGTTTGGGGTAGCCACAGGACTGGGCTGGATGTCTGTCTTGTGCTTCTTAAATTGTCCCCTAAAGGGACAGGCCCTTAGAGGGCATCTCCTGCCGTGGTGGTTCTTTATAGCCCTGATGGAGTAACCTTAGATCTACTTGAACAGTAGATGTGTGTGGACACTTAAGAAGTTAAAGACATTCCTCAAGAGTAGCTATTCTAAGAAAATTAAAAACATATTCAACCTAGCCCTCCTTATAAAATGGATATGCCCAGAAATACTAGGGAGAGGCTTATAAGAAAAAAAAATCCATATCCAAGTAGCTCTCTTCTATTATGAATTGCTACATAAATACATCTTATGCAGACTTTCTTTTTGGCTGCTTTTAAAACATATTAATAATACCTTCCATTGTGTGGAAGGGGACACATTAGACCATCAACTGGAGTAAGACCTGGGTTTGAGTCACAGTTCTAGCCTTTATTAGCTATGCAAATTTAAACTTTTTTTTTGTTTTTTGACCTCTTGGTTTTCTCACTATAAAACTGGGATAATAATAGTCTTTCATATACTTATTGTGAAAGTTAAATGAAGATAATGTATATAATAAGGCACAGTAATAAGCCCTTAATAAGCTTCTAGTATTTTATGGCAGCATGACCAGACAAATAAGGGTCAAGTTGCTAGCTGCAATCAGAAAGAGCTAGGTCTGAATCCTGGCCCTGCTATACACTATGTGACCTTGAGCAAGCTCCTCAAGCCTCAATTTCTTCAGCTATAAAATGGGATGACAGTGTCATACCTTTTTCTCATAGAGTAACTCTGAACATTTATTTTATTTTGCTTTATTTTATTTTAGTTTTTTAAAGTAGGCTCCCAAAGTGGGGCTTGAGCTCAAAAACCTGAGATCAAGACCTGAGCTGAATTCAAGAGTCAGACATTTAACTAACTGAGCCACCAGATGCCCCTGAAGGTTATTTTTAAAAACAAAGCAAAACAGATTATGTCTATGAAGTGCTTAGCACAAGTTCCTAGTACATATTTAAATGTGTAATAAATATGCATACTTCCCTCTGTTTCTTGCAAGTCATTTGGCATCTAGCAGGTGACCAAAATATGCTTACAACTAATTGATTTATTTTTCCCTCCTTTTCCTCCTCTTCCTCAACCCCCTCTCCCCTTCTTCTTTAAAGATTTTATATATTTGAGAGAGAGAGAGAGAGAGCATGAGCAGGTGGAGGGACAAGGGGAGAGGGAGGAGCAGACTCTGCTCAGCAGGGAGGGAGCCCAATGCGGGGCTCCATCCCAGGACCCCAGGATCATGACCCAAGCCAAAAGAAGACATTTAACTGACTGAGGACCCAGGCAGCCCTTCCTCACTCCTTTCAAAGGCTATAGCAGACCTCAAGAGTACACTGAGGAAGCTCCTGGGTGGCTCAGTGGGTTAAGCCTCTGCCTTCGGCTCAGGTCATGATCTTAGGGTCCTGGGACTGGGCCCCGCATTGGGCTCTCTGCTTGTCGGGGAGCCTGCTTCCCCCTCTCTCTCTCTGCCTGCCTCTCTGCCTACTTGTGATCTCTCTCTCTTGTCAAACAAATAAATAAAAAAATAATCTTAAAAAAAAAATGAGTACACTGAGATGTTCACAATTTATATATGTGAACAACTGCATATATAAAAACAAAATATGGTCTTCATCCAGAAAAAGAAATATAATTCATTAATTAATGTTTAATTAATTAAAAAGATTAAAAAATAAAAATTAATTTAAAAGATTTAAAAATTAATTAATTAAAATATAATTCATTAATTAATGTGAGCTAAAGCCAATGTCTGGCTTTTTCCTAATGCTGTACAGTAGGACACTACAGTCTATGGTCCTACCCAAATGATTCTGGAAGTAACATGACAGGGAGTGGTGGATCTGGGGCAAACTAGACAGTCTGCAGCACCTGAAAGCATTAAAACAAAGAAAGAAAAGAACAAAACTTTGTGTATATTGAAATGAACATACATATGTCTCTGTCAATTTGCGACCCATGATTTAATAAAATGGTCCAGAAGCCCAGTGAGCAGACGGATTCTTCAAGTTATTAAGTGGAACTGTCTCTAAATCAACACACAAATGAGAATTTATGAAACTTTTCAGCCATCACTCTTGGTCAGCCTGGCCAGCATGTTTCTTTCTTGGTACAGGGTCTAGGATTGTAGTATGTCTGAATCTCTACTTATTATGTGTTATTGAAGGTGGGCCAAGATGGCTAGTCTGCTCATTTACAGCTAGAACTGACTGTCTTTCATGTGGATTAGATTGAGTTTACCCGAGAAATTCAGGATTTCTTCCAGACCACCAGGAGACAGTTCCTTGGGCCAGAGGCTTACTAAGTAGGACCTCAGTGGGCTTACTAAGTAGGAAAAAGATCCTTAAAACATGATATATACAGCCCTTGTTACCTCGTCAAGCTCAGACACAAAGAAAACAAAATCCAGAAAATTGAGTATTTCCACTGACCTAATTTTCTAAGCCACTGGGAGAACCATGGGCAGCATATTTTGGTCCATCACATTCAGACTCATTGCTCCCACCATTCATAAGCACTAGAGAGTGGCCAGTTGGTTTTCCAGTTTAATTCATGGTCTACAGATAATTCACTACATTCTTTATCCAAAGGTTACACTATTAATCCTAGTGTAAGAAGAGCTGAAAGAGAAAGGAACACAGCAAGATCATACCTATGGGCCTGACTATACCTTCAATGGTCCCACGAGCAGCCTGGCAACTTCCCCACCTCTCAGTCTGACTCATGCGTGTCGGGTAGTGACTAAGGAGCAGAAACATGGAATGTTGTACATTCCAGAGGAAGCATTAACAAGGAGTGTTATCAGTGCTGACTTCTTGTTTATTAGTGAGGGAACAGATTAAAATCTCCAAGGTCGTGCC